GGGACGAGGACACTTCGCCTGGTTTTGCATCCCAGCCTAACCATTAAGTCTGTGAGGTTTGATCACTGGGTTCTAGTTTTATCATCTGTACAATCGGGTTTCCACCACCTAACTCAGAAGCCCATGCAGAGTGGCTTAGTCCCCCGACTACCATCCTCTTCATCCCCCATGCCCCACTGCAGAGCTGGTACTGGAAGCAGGGTCTCCGCCCCAGCCCAGCCCTCCTGGGCTTGCTCAGTGTGCTTGTCATGTATTTCATGTGTGCTTGTCACTGGGAGAGGGGCTCGGGAGGAAGCCACCCCAACCTTGGGAGGGTAGAAGTGGAAGAGGTAAAAAGACTGACCCCAAAGTTTCATCTCCCTGGGTTGAACTGGAGCCCACCTGCCTTGCTAGATCCGTGTGCCATCTACCAGGGCATCCATCTGCTGCCAACCCACCAAGCTGGCTTTTCTGGGCACTCTGTGCCTCTTTTCCTCGTGGAGACATGTTTCTTGCTAAAAAATATATATATATTTTTTAAGGATGAGTTGTTCATTCATCCAACAATTGTTGAGTTCTTTTTGTGGGCCAGGCGTTATATTGGGTGGCAGACACTCAAGGCAAGGTCTCTTGCCTGGGTGCAACCCACAGTAGCCAGTGGGGAAGGTGGGGGGAAGGGGCAGGGTGCAGCTAATACACAAGGGGAAAAAAATGTCAAAATCATTTCAGAATGATCCGTGCTCTGGAGGAATGTGAACTGTCTGTTCCCCACACTTCCAGCCTGTCTGCAGCACCAGGCCCTGGTGACATTTTGCATGAGCAGGTCAGACACTTGGTGGATATCATCCCATTTAATGGCTGCAGCCCCTGGAGATGGGACTTTGCAGCCCCGTTTGGCATGAGCTCAGCCTCCAGGGACTCCGGGCTTCCCACCTGCACTGCAGTAACCTCCTGCCTGCCCGAGGCTGCACTTCTGCCTGGAAACTGTCATGGACTGCAGTGACAGCCCCTCTCTGGGCTGTCTGCCTAGGAAGATTAGCTTCCCTCCACCCTCCCTCCCTGCAGCAGCGGAGCTGCTTCACCTGGCAGGGCCTGCCAGTGACCGCAGCACTCAGGTGCCAGGCTCAGGCGATGCCTGCACCTCCTCCCTGCCCTCCTTTTGCTCTACAGCGGGACAAGCTTTACCGGAGGGGCCATCCTGGGAGAGAGGTTCTTTCCTCTGGTGGGCCTCTTGAGAATTCCTAGAATGACTGCTGGCAGAACCAGCTTAGTCTCCTCATACATCACCCGTGTACAGGGTGCTCTTGGCCTCCCCTCTCCCTGAGAAACCCCAGCCTTAAAAGGAAACTCCAGAATCACTGTTTGCTTAAAGACAAGATTCTCAAGCAAGCTGCGGGATTCACCTCAGGCCTCTTTCACCCAGACCCCTGGGGCTACTGGTTTCCCCAGCACCTTGACAGAGTTTACTGGTCTGTGGCAAAGGCTGGGGATTCATGACATTGAAGTGAGGATGTTGGTTTTTTTTTTCCTGTTTTGGTTTTTTCCATAAAATGCAGTACATTAGATTAAATTGAAGGAAAGTATACAATTTAAAACAATGGTTTTTTTTTAAAACTATGGGAAGCAAACCGTTGGGACAGGCATTAATTTTTAAAAAAGGAATCACCTAGAAAAGAAAATAATCAGAGTATATCACATGTAAGGATAAATATTAAGCTTTTGCTTCCATTTGTGTGCGTGTGTGTGCGCGCACATGCATGTGTGTGTGTGTGTCTGCACGCGCGCACATGCGTGTGTGTGCGTGTGTGCGCGTGCGCGCACATGCGCTGGAACTTGAAGTAAAATGCATTCATTGAGTGAAGATTAAGAAAGTTTGAAAAACATTGCTCTTCATGACGGTCCTATATTCTAGGATTATGTCCTCCCGATTGGGGGACTCTGAAAGTATTTATTTTTTGGAAAAAAAGAAAACTCAAAACACAACACAAAAGGACTCTATAGGTTTATTTTAATTTCTGCCAGTTTCTGTCATCCACAGTTACAGAAGTCTCTGCTGTTAGAGATTTGTCGCAATGTGCCGTGAACAAAGAGCCACAAAACCATTTACCAGGTCTGATGCCTGTGTGCTCTTTGTAGGGATCCAACCTTAGGAGAGAGCCTAAATATGGAAAATACGTAAGTGGATTACAGCATCACACATAGAATAAAGAAAAAAAATTTTTTAATTTAAATACCTAAATGTTCAACAGTAGGGAACTGGCTAGGTAAATGGATGGGTGGGTGTTCACCCACTTATGAACCATTAGGAAGATAAAATAGTTAAGCATTTATACAAGGGGAAATTAAAGGCGTTGGTAGAAGATAGAATTGAAGCCCACTTGTTAGTGCTACCGAGTGGGAGGTGATGTTCTAAGTGTTTTTTTTCCTATATTACTCATCTAGCCCTTATAACAACCCCATGAAGTCAGTCCTACTAGTACTCCCATTTTACAGATGAGAAGAGAGAGGCGCTTAAAATCAAGGTAGTTTTCCTTAGATCACGCTGCTAGTGTGTCACACAGAGTTGAGATTCAGGAATTAAAAATATAGAGACAGAGTCTGGTGTCCAGGAGGTCAAGTGGAAGTGTTCTGCTGGACCGGAGGATGTACACTGGTACAGACAGGAATTGGAAACACAGGGAATCCAGGACAGATGATCCCTTCAGGACCAGTGGTGAGAATGGCGATACCGGGAGGGTGGAGGGAAGGTGGTGTAGAAAGGGGGAACCGATTACAAGGATCTGCATATATCCTCCTTTCTAGAGGTTGGTCAACAGAAAAGTGGGTTAAGGGAGACATTGGACAGTGTGAGATATGACAAAATAATGACTTGTAAATTATCAAGGGTTCATGAGGGAGTGGGGAGCGGGGA